CCTCTGGTGAATAAAGAGCAGGTAGCCTGTTGAGTACGATGTATGCCACTGACACGATTGTTACTTGTTTGGAACTATTTTGTGTGGAAGGTTACCGTGTTCCGTGTCCATATAAATAAAGGTGGTGGAGCTTCCCTGTGTTCGTCTGACAGTGACAGTGCGCTGAAGCACGTTGAGAGTTCAGTGGTGCAGTGGTAGCGACCACACTGAAAATAAGAAAACGTCTCCAGTGTTGTGCTTCGAACCAAGTCTAGTCATCCGAAATGATGTCTACACAAAAAAACAGAGACTTCCGCGCAAGATGGACAAACAGAATCCACATAGTCTGACTGCTGTGTTCAAAGCAAACTTGAAAAAAAACGAAGTATGCAACCATGGCTTAAATCCACTGTAGGCTGAGTACTAGTTTACCTTAGATGTACACTTTATAATTTTATATTGCTCTGTTTTGATTCCCTAAAAAGAGCTGTTAAAGGAGCTGTTAAATATTTTTTTCACTGTTGTTGGTGGACAGTAATATTGTGTGAGAGATTATGTGTGAATAACTGCTCCAAGTGAAAAATGTTCATGTAAAATTGAAAATCGAAATTGTTGTTTCAGTAAATATTTGCATTTTGCACATAGAAAACTGATTCATGATTCCATGTAGATGAGAGCATTAAAATGGGAAAAAAAAGGACAAAAAGATATAAAAGAAATTTAGAAATGATAAAAAAGTGATTAATTGCGATTAATTATGAGTTAATTATGACAGTTGCGTTTTTAATCATGATTAAATATGTTAATCGTTTGACAGCACTGGGATATTTGGCTTTTGGGTGAAATTTCAGGACAAGCTTAAAATGCATTCACACCTATCCAGGTGGACTTAAAGGTCAAGAGTGACATACTTGGCCACCATCTTTTGAGTAATACTTTAGAGATAAGATCGGTCCGAAAAAAATCGAGCCAGACCCGAACCGGCCCGAGGGTATTTAAGCCCGACCCGGCCCGAGCCCGATCACTTAGCTTGATTTGCAGGCCCGAGCCCGAAGCAAACCCGACATTTCATATTTTATTTGTGAGGACTCGGGAGGAGGAGGGGTGATATCTGATAACAAAGCCTGCCTTTTGTAACAAAATCTAAGTTAAACAAGACTGTATAAACATTTACATCTTTTATATTTCTGTTTCTGAAGAGGTTACATTAACCGACAATTTTCTATCATTTGACGGATTTTTTTTAAGAGTGGACGGGGAAAATTTAAGGCCGTCCGTCATTTTGACGGGTTGAAAAATGGGCCGTAAATCATCAAAGCAGTACGTCCTTAAGAAATAAGAGAGAGAGGCAGAGAGACAAAAAAGAATAATGATGGTGGATCATAGACAGAGACAGGAAGGAGTTCTTTGAATTGTCATTGCAAGAGTTTAGTACACTACGTGATGTGATGAGGCGACTTCTGTTGTGCGAACCACGGTCTCTCGTGGCCAAAACTATTGACGGCCTCGAAAAAAAGAAAAAAAAAAAAAAGTCAGCGAGAGAGAAGCCCAACCCGACCCGAACCCGAGGCAATGATTGACATTTTAAGGCCCCCGGGTCGGGTCGGGCTCGGGCTCGGGCGGCCCGATCTTACCTCTATAATACTTAGAGCTAAAATTATTTCAAGCATACTTTCGTTAGGTTTTTTTTTTTTTACGTATAAATACAGTTGAGTTGAGTTGAGGAACCCACCCAGATTCATAGTTAGACCCAAAGCAACACGCTTGACTGCGAAAATGCTTTTGTTCGGCAAGCTGTGGCGAGTAACGGTCATTTAAAGAATGCAGAGTACCAGTCAGCCATTGCACTGCATTGTTGATTGTCCCGTTAAGTGCTCTTTGCCACTGTTAAGAGTTATTCGGCAAAATGCCTAGGCGCTGTATGGCGATGCACTGTTCACATTCAGGCAAACAGTTAGTTTGAGTGGCCAAAAGAAAAGAATAGGGCATGTAAGTTGAGGTTTTGATGGTAGCGGTGTTGTGTTAGCAGGTGTGTCCAGTCGGTAGAGAACCATCGTACACTTAGTGACAAGCCCATACAACCTGAATAACAATTTTTCAGCCAGTGATTGTGCCCCTACATGGGCCTAATTCCATCTTCATGGATGACAATGCTCCAGCTCATCAAGGCTGCATCATCAGGCAACGGCTGCTGGAGACTGCTGTAACTTAAATGGAATGGCCTGTGCTTTCTTCAGACCTGAATCCTCTTGAACACCTGTGGAATCAGCTGATTCGCCATAAAGAGGCTCGAAACTCTGCACCCCAGAACCTCAATGACCTGAGGGCTGCAGGATACCATGCCTCAGCAGACAATAAGTCAACTTGTGAACAGCACGAGACGTCGTCGTCAAGCTGTAATTGATGCTCAAGGGCACATGACGAGTTATTGAGACGTTTAATTTTTTTGTTGTGGCGTACCCACCATTGTTGTTAACTTTTGTTTCAATTAATTGTTTGAGATGAGGAAATCACCAGTGCATGCAACTTCAATGTCCCACTGTCATGATATCACCGTTAGTGTGATATATATTTTTTACATTTTCCATAAATTTCATAAAAGCCAAATATTCCTAACTTTTCGTGAGTAGCGTTTCTTAACACACACATACGCACGCACGCGCGCGCGCGCGCACACACACACACACACACACACACACACACACACACACACTGAAACAAACAAAAAATATCCAACACAGACCTCGAAACACCAACATTCATTCAAAGTGAAGCCTTGAGAGAGTGGAAAGAAAACAAGCAGGAAACTCCAAGACATAATTAAGCTGACCTGATAAACTTAACCGACCCAAGATTAACTCAGCCTTGCTCAGCTGTTAATGGACAAACACAGAACATACTGAATAACAGTACATCAAAGTATGGAACCCACTTTTCTTAACATAAGAGGTCCATTGATTGCTATCAATGTCAAAGCTCTAATCAGGGTTGGTATTCAAAGTCCAAAAGGCCCAATCATGCACTACCTTTAGTCCCTTATTGGTATATTTAGAAACGTATTCAAGTTAAAAGTAGCAAAGAAGGTTATGATATGACATAAAGGCATGCCAGTGAGCCTGGGCTCATTGAGAGGGTTAATGCGGATTGGGTTGGTGTACAGGGCAGACCAGGAAGCATCGCAGTGACACAGAGCGTGTACCTTCAGCTTTGAGTGAATCTCACGAGACTTTCGTTTGGCCAAGACCTGCAGGTGACTAGAGACCTGAAGGCGGATTGTCAAGTTCGGAAGGCAGCAGAGAGGACAGGAAGAAGAGGAAAAGAGAAAGAAGACAGAAGATAAGCTCAGAGGGATGACTTTTATCCGGCGGGCGCCCACCTTGATGCTCGCCTGGTATTCACGCACCCTCTTGCGGGCCAGAACCTGAATGTGACTAGACACCTATTGGCCAGGGTTAACATTAGGAGAGACGGATAACATTTTTACAAGGAGGATTTACTTTTTTTTTTTTTTTTTTTAATAGTGTTAGATGCCAAATGAAAATGAAAGATCACTCAAAGGTTGCATTGTAACCGCCAAGGTATGCGTACCTGTTTGCGTGTGCGTGTCTTTCCTGTCCGTAGCTTAATATAGCGAGCTATTAGCTCATTTCGACCTACAAGTGAAAAAGAGAAATGACATCACAATGGGACTCCAAATAACTCATTGTTTAATGACAAATATTGTCAAACGGAAACCATTTGTTTATGTCACAGTTTTGCTCTATGTGTGTGTGTTTTTTTTTTTTTTTTTGTTTCAGCACCAGCTGGAGTGGAGGGCCTTCCTTTTTAGCGGCGCACCTGTGTCTTGTTTCCAGTCAAGCCTCGCCATGTATTTCAGGACTGCCAAGCGGCTTTGTCTCATTTGGATTATTGACCTTGCTCGCTTTTTCTGCTCAAGTGATATTTTCTAGACTTTATGCCCACGTTCATAGATGCTCTTTTTCTGCTGGATTTTGTTGTCAAGTCATTTTGGACTATATTTAAGTTTCGCGTGTTTGGATTTCATTTTGTGCACTTTCGGTTGTTAAATTTACCTTGCCGTTTGCAAGCGCTTTTTGTTTATATTTGGTTTTCCTTGCTTTTTGTCGCCAGCGATTTCTGTTCAGTTTTCATCGGTCCTTCGTTTTTCTACAAATAAATATTTGTATCACGCAGTTTATTTGAGTCTGCATTTTTGGGATCCACAGTCCACCCGGTTTGTGTTCAGTTTATGCAGTAGGTTTACAGGAATTAATGTCATCTTCCCAAGCCACAATACAAAAAAAATCATTCAAGGTACGACATATGCCAAGAAATAATATACAGTACAAATCCAATTCAAATGAAATGGTTTGCAAATCAAGTTCAACCTCTCTCTGTCTCTAAAATAAAATAGAAACACACACACACACACACACACACACACACACACACACACACACACACACACACACACACACACTTATTCTCACAAGGCTCGCTTTGAAACTTTGAATTTTATGTCTTCTACATTTTCCCCAAAAGTTGGGACAGGCTCATGTTTACCACCGTGTTGCATCAGCTTTTCTTTAAACAACATTCAACTGAGAATTCTTTTGCACCGACGAAAAACTTTTGCGTGTCAATTTGCGTGTCAAAGTAAACTTGAAATGAAGACCAATTATGAACATGACAGTAAAAATAGTTTGAACTATATGGAGGATTCATTTTAGACTGCTGCGGGACTTTGACAGACTTGCTTAAATTGAAGTCAAAGTTGGTAATTGTTGCTGGCGGATGGCCATGGGAGATGAAGCGAAAAGGGAGGGGAAAACCAGAATGCAGGTCACCGTAGTTAATAGGCTTCCAAAATGTGGTTGGGACAAACTGCCTGGTCAGCTCTTACTCTCACAGTCTTCCCCCTCCATTCCAACCACATCCAAACAGCTGTTCATCTATGTACTCACTGCGGCAAATACAGTTGAATCTCTTTTCAACGGACCCCGTTGACAACATTTCGACCCCTATAATGTTCACATGTCAAAGTCGCGATTCCACATAATTCATTTTCCATTTGCCGATTTTGCTTATGACGAACACCTTTATAACGTAAACTTCATTATAAAGACCAGATTGTTCACACAAAATGGTGAAAAGACCTGCGTTACAACGAACCATGGGAAGCTAACTGCCTCGACCTTGCTTATGATCAAAATGTGGAGCACGGGATTCCCTTCCATTGCTAAGCAAGGCTAGTGATCGTCTCGTACACTGTTGTATTTCCGGAGGCACGGCGCTGTCCTGCGCACATGGTCTGAAAGCATATCTGGTAAACGGAAGCAAATTGCTGTGAAGGCTGAAATTGTCTCTCAATTTCAAAAGGGAGTCTCCCAGACGATGCTCAGTCGAGACTATGAATTGGCAACGTCGACAATTTTGACAATCATCCGTAATGGCAATAAAATCACGGCAGAGTTCGAGGCCAACAGAATGAAAAATGATCGTAATCGTCTTCGGGCGTGGCGCATCTTGAATTGGAGAAGGTACTTATCATTAGCTCACTGAATGTTTTCAGAGATGAAGTAGGAACGCTACAGTTGTTTGCTTCATGTCTTATAAAATCATTTTCCTTCATACTGTTTACACATATTTGTACTTGACATTCATTCATCCACTTATCCTCACGAGGGTCGCGGGGAGTGCTGGAGCCTATCCTAGCTGTCTTCGGGCAGTAGGCGGGGGACACCCTGAACCGGTTGCCAGCCAATCGCAGGGCACACAGAGACGAACAACCATCCGCGCTCACACTCACACCAAGGGACAATTTGGAGCGTTCAATCAGCCTGCCATGCATGTTTTTGGAATGTGGGAGGAAACCGGACTACTTGGAGAAAACCCACGCAGGCCCGGGGAGAACATGCATGTTCTCCCCGGGCCACGCAGGGAGGCCGGAGCTGGAATTCAACCCGGTGCCTCTGCACTGTGAGGTCGACGCGCTAACCACTGGATCACCGGGCCGCCTGTACTTGACATGTTTATACTATATTACATGTTTATGTTTTTACATCTAGAAATGTTCATACAGTATTATCCATCATAGTTGGCGGCCATTTTATTGGAAATGTTTCAAAGGAACTACCGTTATATCGGACAGATATGTTCAATGTACGTTGTACCAAGGTTGGACTGTATAAGATTTCAGGAGGAATGGGACCAGGGTGATCGAATCAAGCCTCACAGACCTGATCCAATCCAGGACAAAGCAAGCATGCGCTGACATTGTCAACATCATCACCACTGTCTCTCCTTCTGGGAAGTAGTGCTGCTGAGTCATTTCAGCTTAGACTGTTTAATAAAACAAAGAAATGCGACTGACTCAGACACATAGCAGTCATCTCCAATTCCCAAAACAGGACACACACTTTGCTGGCCATTTTCTCCAAAAGGAGACGAGCTTTTTTTTCACGTTTGCTTAGTAGTGACTGCTGTAGCATAATATAAATGGAAAGTGTACAGGAGGCTGCATGAAGGTAGACGCAAGGGAAGTGATTAAAATTACGAACCTTCGGTACATAAATCTTTCCCCATGGTGGGGTCGCGGTAGGGGTGGGCCTGAGGAATGAAATCTTGGATCTCACCTGAATAAACTCATAAATTGATGAATGCTATGTATGTGTGAAATCTGTGCCAGCTTAATTGAACACAGAGGCGAAATACTCACAGGAAGCCATGACTTACTCTCTTGTATGAATGGCAACACGTGAATTAAAAGGTTTACTGTAGCTTTTGCCATCTAATGAAAGATCATTTTTTGTTCTACCTCTCACTGTATGTCGCTGGGTAAAAGATATATTTGAAATGAACAAATCATTTTCAGACAAATGCCATAAATTGGATAATTAACTGCGGACCTTAGTAGGAAATCATTGATCTACAATCTATGTCATGATAACCTTTGGTCATTGTACACCTTTTTGTCTTCACATTTTGGCTACACTGAGATTTTGTTAAATTCCACGTTCTGCTTAAAATAAATAAATAAATAGACAAGAGATTCATACTGGTTCAAATAAATGAGTTACTACAACGTTGATAAAACACCAGCTTACTATCATGTCAGGTATTTTTAAGAAAGGGGTTTGGATTTTTCATTAGTTAGTCACCAGTTAGTTTTCATTGTGGTTGATTTTTGTTTTTTTGACTTCAGTTAGTTTTAATGTGTTTTCCCTAAATGCTTCGTTTTAGTTTCATTTTATTAGTTTTAGAATTTGTCACATATAAGGGACCACAGAAGCGTGGAGCTGCCAATGTGGAGTACAAATATTTTGACTGGCAAAGCCGTTATAATGTACTTGCGAGTATGTTCGAATGTATTTAAATACACGCAATCATACACGTACGTTCAAACATACGAGCATACACAATCCTACAAACGTCGCATTTTCCTAAAATGCCACCAGTTATTGACTTGCGCATGCATCGTGGGAATAAAATGCCCAACGTAAATCATGCATTGCAGCCACAATAAAATCAAAAATGAAGAATAAACAATGTTCACTTAGGTTTTAACAAATGTAATTTGTAAAGAAAGTGGAAACCGGAGTAATTTGTTCTTCCTCACCATACATCTTGCCCTCATCTGAAAGTATAATCTTCCTCCTGCCGCAAGGAGGGTAGATGGCCAGAGCTTCCTGAAAGCTCTGCTCGATGTCAGGACTCCACACCCCTTCAGGGTCGCCGTCCAAGCCCCGGTCTGCCCCGTCACCAAGTCCATCTCCATCGCCACCGCCCTCCTCCTGCGCCCCGTCAGGGCTGCTACGGCAACTCCACTCCGACGCAATGATGACGGCTCCAGCCACACCTTGAAAACACAGGACATTTCAAACATTGGCGTTCATCGAGGGCTCTAATGATTTTTGCATTCTAATAAACTAATCCACAATTGTATGTGAATAACATTATCAGATAAATTTATTCATACTCAATTGTCTTTTTTTCGTTTGTACCTAATGATGCGTCACCACCTTTTCATTGTCATTGGCAAGTGAGTGATTGACATGTGTGTCAATCATAGACATGATTTGCCCAGTGTTAAAAAGTGAGTCATTCACTCAGACAGCTTATCTTGCCATAGTTGTCTCCATACATAGCCGTGCACTTTTTTTGCTAATGACACACCCCTTTATTCATGTACCGACACGGAGAAAGGTAATTGCTTAAGGCATGTCAAATGAATGCATAGCACTTGCAGTATGGCATTCTTAAGGCTTCTTTATACTCGCGTGGGCAGCGATTGCATGGGAAATCACAGCGGTAATGCAGCGCACAGTTTACCTTTATACTCACGCAACCACACGCGTTTTTTTTGAAAATGTGTTGTAGTTTCCCTTCAAGTCGGATGGCGTCACTATGGCTGCTATTAGGGATGTAACGATATCCAAACGTTACGAGACGATATCGTGACATGAACTTCATGATACAATAATTATCACGATACTGTGAGGAAGTTGGCAATATAACAAAAGCTCAAAACACCTTATAAAATCTCACGACTTTGTAAATAAATAAATCATATGGGGGAATGGGGCACACTACTCTGTTTTTGTACATAACAGCAGTGACAGAGAAATAGGACTTGCCAGGCATTTTATTGTCGAGTGCTCCTACTGGCTCAACGGAGCAAAGTATCATGGTCTATATACACGTAGTTCACAACGCTGTATTCGATAACATTTCATCTTGAGACACGCACACAATGTGAATTGAGTCAATTTGTGGAGGAACTTGAACGTGTTAAGTTTCCCTCCAACTGGCGATTAGAATGGGTCTTAAACGTAGGTGGCCAAAACATACCTAATTCAAAGTAAACTGCACTAATAAATTAGCCATCAGGGGGTGCTGGAACTGCACAAATGTAAAATAACCTGGCTTATTTAAAAGATGTGGCACTTTTAATATCGTGACATGACAACACATGACAAGGACGACATTGTGGTAATTTTGCCGTGATCGTTACATCCCTAGCTGGTATTGGCTTGGACCGCAAAGGTTAGGGCTGGACGATTAAGTCCCAAGACTTTTGAACATAACAGTATGATAAAGATGGTATCAAAGGCGTGGATGTAGCAGAATGAAAATGCAAGAGGCTTGAAGTCCAAATGATACAAGGTCATTTTGACCTTGACAAAGAATAGTGTTAAATGCGCATGGATGAATGGACAACGCAATGATGATAGTTTTCAGTAGTTCAGTTTGAGCAGTTGAAATAAATCAGGAATTGCTTAAATAATCATGACGCCAATCTCAATCAAAATAAATATGCTTATCATTTTTTCCATAGTAATCCAGCTCGACCATGGGAAGTAGTTTCCTTTGCATTTTAAGGCAAATTTTGGTCGCCGCCTTTACTTTGCGGAACAAGGACTACAGCGACAACAATGCAGAATGCGCCTGCTGGAACAAAGATGACGTGATGAGGCATTTAATTCTATAGCAGGAATTGATCAACGCAGCGGAGGCATAAGCGGTATATATGTCTGTGTAGGCTTCTTTACCCAGGTACATATCAGCTACACCGTTGCCAAGTCAGCTTTGGCCGCAACCCAGTTCAGATGCCATAATCGTGATCAATTCACGCTTAACACTCTTCAAAGCACAAGATAGGTGAAAAAAATTAATAATTTGGCGTTTGTCCTTAGTCAGGAAGGCTCAAAACCAGGAGAAAGCCCTTTCAATTATTTTTAAGTGTGTACCAGGCCTCGGCCATATTTTACTAAGATGCCAGGAACGGAGCACACGTAGAGGTTTTACTGCTTTATTGGTCGCAGTTCTATGGTGATAATCAGAGTTTCACTCCACAATAAGTGGTGACATGGTGTCAAAATCAGCTCTAATGTCAGGTTTGATTAGTCTGTTTGATGAATGAACAGCCCTGGTTACGAGCTAAAATCGACTTCTTGTTAACTTTATTAAAAAAAAAAAAAAAAAAAAGCCTGATCCCTTGTGTGCACAGACCACATGAGGAAATTACACATTCTTGTGTTATTGTTGAGGATGCTCCAAGTCTGCTGAAAGACACGAACAGACATCTGCAACAGAACCCCGGCTGGAGTGTAATGTTTTCCAGAGAGGGGCTAGCATGCTTCCCGCCACAGTCGAGCCAGAGAGGATCAGTGTGGTCGCGCAGCTTCCCTTGTTGCGGCGTATGCTAGTTGGACACTCTCGGCACAGGGCTTTCCTATTTTCAATCACTAGTGACAGGACTGTGCTGTTGCCATGGAAATCAGGCAGACCCAGAGCGAAATGGTTCGGAGAGAGCAAAGTCTTAAAGAACATTGTGATATACAGGGGGAGGGATACGTGAGAGACAGACTTAAAAGTTGTTGTGTAACAGGTCTTTGAGTGGAAGATGCTGTTTCTTCCGGGTTTGTTTGTGCTGCTGATGAGATTGGCGGTTCTTTTGCTGCAGCCATTGAATCAGATTAGCCAAATGATTTGTTCACTGCAACGTTCAGTGCACTGAGATTCACATTCACTAACTTACTGAGGGATTGCAAGTTCAAGTATCATAGTATTGCAGAAACCCTTTGAGTACATGCACTAATATTACTGCATGATGAGCATGAGTCCTGGGCACAGCGCATTAACTGAACATACGACATTGATAACAAGACAGTGTTAATTTTAGCAGCACTTATAATGAAAGTACTCGACTCTGAGTGTGTGTATGTATATTCATATATATTCATATATATATATATATATATATATATATATATATATAGAGAGAGAGAGAGAGAGAGAGAGAGAGAGAGAGAGAGAGAGAAACGTTGCCACATTATGTTGGTGTCAAATATTACTGTGGCATGTCACATGGCGATTGATTCGCTGAGTGTTACGCTGCCTCAGATCACTTCACTCACGCCATATGAACAAAACAACACGTTTATTCAGCCTATTTGACTTTTGCAGTTAGTGTTCTTAGTAAATGCATTACAGAACCAGTGATTTACAAGTAATGCAACATAATCACATGAAACTATGGTTGGCTTTTCTTTTGTTTCATTTTGACATGTGCTTTCAGCATTAAAATCCCCATGCACTGGGGCAAAACAAATGACCACAAATGTCCTAACTGTGTCATCCTCACATACTGGTGTTGCACACATTACTGCACACATCGAGCAAAATGTACCCCCAGGCCCTCCAAAAAAACAAAACTCCATTCCAAAGCATTGTAAACCTCCGCCCATTCTTCACAATTATCTGACAAAGAAAGATCCAGATGGACAAAAAAAAAATTAATAATAATAATAATAATAATTTGACCGCATTTGGTCAAAATCTTGACAGCGATTGGGAAAGACAGGATGAGACAGATGCGAAGTAACGTAATCAAGCTCCTGTACAGAGAAAAAGGGCATGAGATTTGCCTGACAGAAATATTTTTTAGTCACTGTCACTATTTAAATCAAATACCATGCCACATTGTGTTGGCGTTTAATATTATTGTGGCATGTCGCATTGGCGATGGGTTCACTGAGTGCTACGCTGCCTCAGATCACTTCACTCATGTCATGTGAGAAAATTGCACATTTCTGCAGTCTATTTGTGTTTTGCTGGCATGGTTGGGAGTTATAACACATTACAAACCTAACAATTTACAACAAACATTAAGTTTCGCAGCAACTAAGAAATGCAACATATCACATAAAACTACGGTCGGTGCACTACAAACATTTCATAACAGTGACATCATGTCTCTGTGTTTCACAGACATCTCCCTCGCTGCACAAATGTCATTAAAAACTTAATCTTAACTATCGTGCCCCGGCAAAGGTAGATCAGTGCGCAAAATATCAAATGACAGTTTAAAATGGCTTTAAAAAAATCTTTCCATCGGTTGAAATGGCCCAAAATACACCAATGCCATCCAAACTGGTCGCCTTAGAAATTTCCTTAGCTATTATATATATAGCTATATATTCTATATTATATATATATATATATATATATATATAGAATATATGTCTCTCTGTCTCTCTATATATATTCTCCTTAGCTGCACCCTGCGATGGTCTATGCCCATTAGTGGTATGTACTACGCCAGGTGCATTCAAATGAATGGGAGTGCTTTTCAATAATATCCACATTTTCTTCTTCATTCTCATCCACATCTTCTTTCTGAATAAACCTGTGTCTTCCACGATTGACGGTCTGTCTTTTTTAAAAAGTGGTGCAGGACAACAATGAACGGGGAGCCTCAGAACACAGTACATACTCATGCAGTTCAAGTCGCAGTGTCCGTGTATTAAATGGGGTTTGGATGCATCGCACAGTGTGGGGCACTTCTTAACGTTTTTCAGAAAATGCATAAAAACCATGAACATGTGAGTTAGTTTTTAATGAATGACTGGAGTAGGTTTCACAGAAAAAAGTGTGTGATTGCCTCTGGATGCTGCAAGATGGCATCTAAGGACTACTTTTGCCTAAATGCTCTTGCCTGAGCATTAAAAAAAATGCAGCCAAAAAGCGTGAAAAGCAAAATATGACTATACAGCAGAAATATCAATAAATTGATGCATCGCAACATTTCCCAGGTCAATTGATGATTGATTCAGCACATTCTCTGTATCGATAAACCTCCTGTGAACTTGTGATCACAAATTTGGCTGCCATAAATAAATTAACCTGCCCGCCTGCGATATTATTTACAGATAAAATGCAGGCTCTGCTGCATACCTAATCAAGCATTTTCTCAACCAGTAGTCAGCCAACCACCGGAATAGCGAATGCATAATTAACGCGTCATTAAGCTGCTTTAAAAAAGCAGTGAGAAAATAAAAAAGTGAGCTACTCGTATTCAATCAGTTATCCCTTGGAAAAAATGAAATGCTTCAGATTAAATTTTTCATTATCACTTATTGTAATATGATAATCGATTTCAAAGGTTCATTTATTGTTGATTAAAAGTGGTGCAGTAAATATAGAGATGTTATTTTAAGCTTTGTATTCCACATGCACAAACAAGTTGTCCAAATTATTTACAGCTGTTTTGTTCCCCCAAAATGTGGTGACAACACATGTACACATGTAGTTTACTGATCCAATATAAAAGCAAAGCAGTTAAATATCGAATCATAGCCTTA